GCCCACTCAGTCCCAGCCCAGGGCCAGGGGTGGCACTGGGGGTGTCCCCAGAGGCTGTGTCCCCTCTGTCACCGCTCACCAGTGCAGGCTCCTGCCAGGGGAGGGGGGAGGCTGCAGCTCACACTTCCCCCATGGAATGATGTACAATGACTTGAAGCTCTGTATTCCTTTCCTCTGGAAGTAAATGGGAGAAAAACCTCGGTGTTTTCTGCCTGTGTGTGACAGAAGGGGAGGGGAGGGACCCGAGGGGCTCTGGGGACTCCTGTGCTTTGTCCCTGTCCCAGCTGCTGCTCCAGCTGTGCTGGGATCCAGGGATAGTCCTGGGCTGCTTTATCCAAACCCAAACTGAGCAACTGCTCCACCAGACTTTACCCTGGGTTCAAAAAGCCCATTATTAAATATTACCATGTTTAATAATTGTCTGGTTTTCCTGAGCAGGCTCTGCTGCTTTTTGGGTGGCACTGCCTTCATTCCTGGTGCCATTTTGGACACAATTCCTGCTTTTCCTTATCTTTCCCCTTCTTTTTTATCACTGCATCTCACACCTGCACTTTGAAGGCTCACAGTCCCAGCCCTTTGCCTAAACCACTTTGCCCATGGAGAAAAGGAAATCAGTTCTAATGAGCCCCTTGGTTTTGTGCCAGGCAATTCCTAAAGCTGATTTTGGGGCAGTTTTTCACCCAGCTTCTTGTTCTAATTGTAATTGAGCGGCCCAGACTGGGAGCCTGGTACTGGTTTTCCCTCTGCCTGAAGAAAATGGATGTAAATTGAGTGGCCTGGTGCATAAAAAACCAAATTTCCCTCTAAAACCACGATGCCTAAAGCTGGAATCCCCGGGCTGTTGATGCTGTTTCCTCTGGCTGAGGTTTGATCTGATCCCTGGAGAGCTCCCATGGATTTTTTTACAGGGCTCAGGTCTCACCTACAACCTGGATTTTTGTTTTTAAAGTCTGACTCCTCCTCCTTTCTCCCCTGATCTCAGAACTTGTCCCTTCCCTGGAAATTCCTGCGGGAATAAACACTCCCCTGTAATCCTGGGATGCATCAGCTGTGCTGGAAGTGACATTCAGGAGTTAAACCCGAGCAGCTGCTGCTTTATTTGGAGTGGCTGGTAATTTTCTGCCTTTGATGCAGAGTGGGGGATGTAATCAGGGTGCCTGAATGGAGAATTTTCAGGATATTTTGGTGAGACAGCAGGGAAAGGAAATCAAGGGCAGCCTCTTGCTGGGTGAGGAAATTAAATATAAAAACTTCGAGCTGAATTGCCACCAAACGAATCTTTTCATGCTGGAGAGCTGTTTAAAATTGTGCTTAACTTGAGCCTGGAAAAAAAATAGCTGCTGAACTGTTGATTATCAAATAATGCAGCTTCCTCAGGGGAGGAGATCTGATCTCTCCCAGGAGGAGCTGCCCTGGGAGCACGAGGAGCTGCTGGCTTTGGTTTGTGACAGCAGAACCTGCAGGGATTTCTGCAGCAGGCGTGGTCCAAAAGGCACAGAAATTGGATAAATTGAATCCCATCCCATGGATACCATGGATCCCATCCCATCCCATCCCATCCCACACCACCCCAGCTCCAGCAGAAGGGGAGATCCTTTCCTACAGCCTCAGGTTGTGCCAGGGGAGGTTTAGGTTGGAAACTGGGACAAAATCCTTCATGGAAAACATCAGGCACTGGAATGGTGGAATCACCATCTCTGGAGGGGTTCAAAATGTCTGGAGGTGGCACTTGGGGACACGGTGTGGGGGTGGCCTTGGCAGGGCTGAGGCCACACTTGCACTTGATGGTAAGAAGGTCTTTGCCAACCTCAGCAGCTCTAGAATTTTATATTTTGGAGCTCCCAAGGAGGAGGAGCTGATTTGTAGCTCAGAGAAGGATTTCCTGGAAGCCTCCTGGCTTGGGATGTGCCACCATGAGCTGCCACTGCCACCCTGTGCTGTGACTTATGGAGGTGACAGATCAGTGCCACCTCTGCAGGGCTGTGACAGATCCAGTGTCACCACTGCTGTGTGTGACAGATCCAGTGCTACCTCTGCAGGGCTGTGACAGATCAGTGCCACCCCTGCTGTGTGTGACAGATCACTGCCACCCTGCCCTGTGTGACAGATCAGTGCCACCTCTGCAGGGCTGTGAGATCAGTGCCACCCTCTGCTGTGTGACAGATCCAGTGCCACCCCTGCCCGGTGTGTGACAGATCCAGTGCTCTTCCTGCTGTGTGTGACAGATCAGTGCCACCTCTGCCCTGTGTGACAGATCAGTGCCACCCTGCTCTGTGTGATAGATCCAGTGCCACCCTGCCCCATGTGATAGATCCACTGCCACCCTGCCCCGTGCGACAGATCAGTGCCACCCTGCTCTGTGTGATAGATCCAGTGCCACCCTGCCCCGTGTGTGACAGATCAGTGCCACCCTGCTCTGTGTGACAGATCAGTGCCACCACTGCCCAGTGTGTGACAGATCCATTGCCACCCTGTCCCATGTGATAGATCCACTGCCACCCTGCCCTGTGTGACAGATCACTGCCACCCTGCTGGGCTGTGACAGATCAGTGCCACCCTCTGCTGTGTGACAGATTGGTGCCACCCTGCCCTGTCGCAGGGCACTGCCACCACTGCTCACCTGGACAGCAGGGACAGGATCCCGGTGTTTGCTCCTGAGATCCTGAAAATCTTTGTGCCCAGAGCGGGGGTTGGGAGGGAAATGCCCCGTGGGGCACAGAGGGCAGAGCAGCCCTGGGGGACAGGGATCTGCCAGGGCCTTGGGGTATCCTGGGTGGGAAAGGTCCCAGACACCCCAAATCCCACCCTGGAGCGGTGCCCAAAGGCTCCTGGAGCCCCGGCAGCCCCGGGGCCGTGCCCGTTCCCTGGGGGCTGTCCCAGGGTTTATTCCCCCCGGGAAGAGCCTTTCCCTGCTCTCCGGCCCTGCCCTGCCCCAGCTCCGCGCCTTTCCCTGCCGGGATCCCGAATTCCCGAGGGCAGGCGCCGCTCCGTGCGCGGCCGCTGGTGCCATCTACCCTCGCTCCCCGGCGCTGCAGCCGCCGCTAATGAGGCTTAATTAAACCAAGCAGTGGCCGTGACAAGGGGACAGCGAGCGCCCGGACACCCCGGAGCGAGCCCGGGCTGTGTCTTCAGGGAATGTCGGCTCCTTGCTGGGAAGGGATCGGGGCAGGTCCTGCTCTGCCCGGGCTCAGCTGAGCCGGCTCGCGGGGATGGATCCGGGTTTAGCTGAGCCGGCTCGGGGGGATGGATCCGGGTTTAGGAATCCCGAGGTGATGGATCCGGGCTCAGCTGAGCCGGCTCGGGGGGATGGATCCAGGTTTAGCAAACCCGGAGTGATGGATCCGGGTTTAGCTGAGCCGGCTTGAGGTGATAGATCCGGGTTTAGCAATCCCAGGGTGATGGATCCAGGCTCAGCAATGCCGGGGTGATGGATCCGGGTTTAGCTGAGCCGGCTCCGGGGGATGGATCCGGGTTTAGCAAACCCGGGGTGATGGATCCGGGCTCAGCAATCCCAGGGTGATGCACACACTGGGCAGTGGTGGCACTGATCTGTCACACAGAGCAGGGTGGCACTGATCTGTCACACAGGGCAGGGGTGGCACTGATCTGTCACACACAGCAGGAAGAGCACTGGATCTGTCACACACCAGGCAGGGGTGGCACTGGATCTGTCACACACAGCAGAGGGTGGCACTGATCTCACAGCCCTGCAGAGGTAGCACTGATCTGTCACACACAGCAGTGGTGGCACTGGATCTGTCACAGCCCAGCAGGGTGACACTGATCTGTCACCTCCATAAGTCACAGCACAGGGTGGCAGTGGCAGCTCATGGTGGCACATCCCAAGCCAGGAGGCTTCCAGGAAATCCTTCTCTGAGCTACAAATCAGCTCCTCCTCCTTGGGAGCTCCAAAATATAAAATTCTAGAGCTGCTGAGGTTGGCAAAGACCTTCTTACCATCGAGTGCAAGTGTGGCCTCAGCCCTGCCAAGGCCACCCCCACACCGTGTCCCCAAGTGCCACCTCCACACCTGACTGCAAAAGGATCTTGACTTTCTGGTTAATTTTTCCAGTTATCCCTGAGGTGAAAGCTGATGTGGAACGAGCTGGGAGTTAAGGAAATAATGATGAACTTGAAAGAAAAGCAACTTTACACCACTTTACTGAAAGTAAATCTGTTTATCGAGGATTAAAAAACTTATCCAGGTGGTGATCAGCATCCCCACTGGTTCTGCAGGTAACCTGTGCTGAAAAAAGGTCTGAGGCTGCTTTGTGTGGGACTTGCAAAAAGAAAAACTTCCAGGTTTGTACAGGATTTTTAGATGTGTTTTTTCCATTTTTTTTCCAGGAGAAGCAATTTTGCAGTGGACAATAAGTGCCAGTTTTGCACCAGCTCAGGGCAGGGAGGAGTGATTGGTTTGGGGTCATCTCTGAGCTGTGACTCAGAGATGAGCCCCTGGCACTGAAATCAGGCACCTTTTATGCAGAAATCACCATCAATTCCTGTGCTCATTTGCATTGAGGACCCTCAAATCTGACTGGAATGATTATTTTCCCCCTCAAACCTCTCACTGAATTCCCAGTGACTCACCCTGTGGATTCACAACTCTCCCAGCTCCCAGGGGCAGAGCCAGATCCCACCTGAGCCAGCTGCAGAGGGATTTGGCTCCAGAGGGAAGAGCAGCCGGGCTGTGAGCAGGGAGGGGCTGCAGGAGCAGAGGGAGCTCAGACCCCTCTCGCTCCCGGCAGCGAATCCCAGCCTGGCCATGGATGGGATCTGGGAATTCTGCAGCAGGCACAGGATCACCGGCAGGTGAAGAGGAGAGAGGAGAGGGAGGAAGATTTGCAGCAAAGGCTCCCCAGCCCCGGAGGTGAGTTCTGGCTCCCAGGAGCAGCAGAGGAAGGGAACTGGCTGGGAGGCAGGAGGGAAAATCCAAACTCCAAAATTCCAAAAAATCCTGTTGGCAGAGACCTGGAAAGGACCGAGAGCTTCCAGTTCTTTTCCTGGGCTGGCAGCAGGACTGGATTGCAGCTGGGGCTTCAGAGGTGCTGTGGGAGCAGGGGAGAAGGGAAAACGGGCTCTGGATGCTGATGGAGCCTTGAGCAGCTGAGAAACCTCGGCAGGACGGGATAAACGGGGAAGCCATGGATGGGTTTTACCCCTCGGCAGGAGGAGCTGGGCAGGACGTGCTCAATGCCACCAGCTGGGCAGGACAAAGACACTCCCCGCTGTCCCTGCGGGTGGTGACAGCCGCCTGCCTGTCCCTCCTCATCCTCTCCGCGCTGCTGGGGAACGCCCTGGTGTGCCTGGCCGTGCTCAGGTTCCCACACCTGCGCTCCAAGGTCACCAACCTCTTCGTGGTCTCCTTGGCCGTGTCTGACCTGCTGGTGGCCGTGCTGGTGATGCCCTGGAGTGCTGCCAGCGACGTGCTGGGCTTCTGGCCCTTCGGGGCTTTCTGTGACCTCTGGGTGGCTTTTGACATCATGTGCTGCACGGCCTCCATCCTCCACCTGTGCCTCATCAGCCTCGAGCGCTACTGGGCCATCACCGACCCCTTCTGCTACCAGAGGAGAGTGACACAGCGCCTGGCCTTCGTCACCATCGGGGTGGCTTGGCTGCTGTCCCTCCTCATCTCCTTCATCCCCGTGCAGCTGCAGTGGCACAAGGAGCTGCCCAGCCGAGAGCAGCTGGGGTTTAACGGCTCTGCGCAGGAGGGGAGCTGTGATTCCAGCCTCAGCAGGACCTACGCCATCTCCTCGTCCCTCATCAGCTTCTACATCCCCGTTGCCATCATGCTGGGCACCTACGGGCGCCTCTTCCACATGGCCCGGCGCCAGCTCCGCAGGGTCTCCTCCCTGGAGAGGCCGGCGGGACGCGCCCAGAGCTGCCCGGGCAGCAGCGACTGCCCTCGGGAAACCTCCCTGAAAAACTCCCTCAAGAAGGAGACCAAGGTGCTCCAGACCCTCTTCATCATCATGGGCGTCTTCGTGTGCTGCTGGCTGCCCTTCTTCGTGCTCAACTGCCTGGAGCCCTTCTGCGACCCTGAGCCGTGCGTCAGCAGGGCCGTGCTCAGCACCTTCACCTGGCTGGGCTGGGCCAACTCCGCCCTCAACCCCATCATCTACGCCTTCAACGCCGAATTCCGCGGGGCTTTCGCCTCCCTGCTGGGCTGGGGCTGCCCGTGCCGCGGCAGCGCCGTGCAGACCGTGACCTTCAGCAAGGAGCTGGCGTCCTTCCACCCCGACAGCTCCGAGCACAGCGCTCTGCAGACCCTCAGCCCGCCCCAGCTGCTGCCCCACGCTGTGCTGCAGGTGGAAAACCCCGAGGTGGCCTTGGAGAGGGTTTCTCTGGGCTCCTGCCCGCCTCAGCACGCCCTGGCTGAGTGCGGAAGCCCCGTGTGGTTGGGGAGGATTCCCCCGCTCGCCAGCAGCGCCTTCCATTGAGCCTGGCTGGGAGAGGAGCGGTGGGAAGGTCTCCAGCAGAGAGGGGAGATGGGACGTTCCTGCCACGCCTGAGGAGCTGAGGGTGATGAGGGTGTTCCACTCTGTTTGAATCCCAGAGTGGTTTTCCAGGTGTCTCCAGCCCTGTTTCTGTAACTGAAATTTGGGCCCAGCCCAGGTGGGCAGCTGGGATCTGTGTTGCTGCTTTCTCCAGTTCACCCATGGTTAAAAAACTTCACTTTCTGCAAAAGATGGAAATGGCAGGGCTGGAGTTGCTCTTTCCTGGTGACTTCAGCTGAGAGAGCAGAGATGGTTGGGTGTCCTGAGCCTCTCCGTGGTCAGGAAGTGAAAACCCAGCTGTGCCTGAGGGTTGGCCACTGCCCTTGTCCTGTGGCCACCAGCACGAGGCTGCTGGATGGACACTGGCCAAATCCAGCTGGTCACTGGGGATAACTCTGCTGGGCTCAGCTCTGGCCCTCCCTGTCCTCAGGAACTCGTTCTGCAGGTCTGGTCACCTTCCCTGGAGCCCGGCGCTGTGTTTGGGAGCAGCTCCTGTCTGCAGCTGTTGCAGGAAGGATTTGGTGGCTAAAATTCTGCTTTATTCTCCCTCTGATTCCCTTCCTCCTCCATTTCATGATGGGTCCTTCTCCGGAGCTGCCTCATTTCAGTCACAAAGGCTCTTCAGGAGCTCTCCTGCTCCCCAATCAACCTCTGGAAGGTTCTGTCTCATCAGAGGGGTCAGGAACAGCTCCCGGGCTCCATCCCAGCCCTGGCGGTGACTTTGGGAAGGAGGTTTGATCCCTGCCTGATTAAACCCGGCTCATCCCTGTGAATCCCAGATATCCTCAGCTCCCCCTCCCCCGCAAACAAAGGGAGAAATCAGCCAGTGCTAATTACAGAGCCCAGTGCTAATTACAGAGCAATGAAACAGAGCCCAGTTAGAGCAGGACCAGCGTGGGAGGGCAGCGGAGCTCTCCCGGCCTCTGGGATTTTTCTAGGGAAGCACTGACAGGATTCCACAGCATCGACGGCATCTCCCTGTGGGACAAGCCAGGAGGATTTTGGGTCAATCCAAAACAATCTTGGGGTTTTTCAGCCTAATTTAGAGAAGGAATTGTTGGTCTGAGATGGGAATGATCATCTGGAACCCCTCAAGGGGCTGAGTTAATCTGAACGCTGCTGTAATGTTTATAATTAATATTTATAATTCAGGGTGTTGTGTGGTGCTTGGAACTCCTGGCTTGGCAGCAGGAGGGAATGGGAGCACTCAGCTTTTCCCAAAACTGTTCTGGAAGAGTTTTTTGATGCCCGTGGCAAAATTCTGGGGCTTAATCCAGGATGGTTTGTAAAGGAATTGGAGGAAAACAGCCAGCTCGGTGTGTCTGTGAGGAACAGGGTGAACCTGCAAAGGAAAGACAACAAAGAGGGTGAAGTGACTCTTTTTGTGCCCTATTACTACCTGTATTTAATCCTTTAATTAAATTAATGTGTTTAATTATTGTTCATTTTCCTGTAGCAGCTCTGACCCAGCAGCAGAAGGGACCAAGTGGTGACAGAGCCAAGCCCAAACCTGCCAGGCTCTGGAAGAAATCCCAGTGTGTTACAGACATTCCTGTGGGCAGACTGGGAAATGGGAACAGCTCCAAACTGGTGGGACTGGGGCTGCCTTTGGCACAGAGCCCCCTTGTTCACCTGGCTGCAGGATGCAGCTCCTTTTTCACTTTTCCCCTTTTTTCCTGCACAGGTTTCCTCTGTAATCCCACCAGGAAGTGTCTTCCTCCTTCTCCTCCTCCTCTTTTCCCTTCTCCCATCCCAAATTCCACACTCGGGTGGTGAAATTATTCCAGTCTGGGGCAGATTCCAGAGCAGGGATTGAGGCAGGATTTGTGCCTGACCCTGCTCTGTAATCCCCAAAAACCACGTCAGTCCTGGAGCTCCGGATGTGCCATGGGTGACCTGGGGACAGGTTCTGGGTTTTTTGGGTGAGGAGCAGAGTGGCCTGAGAAAAGTGATATTTGCAAATGAGGGAAAGGAGGAAAAACATCAAATCCACATGGAAGTCAGCAGATAGAGGGGGAAAATTGGAGGTTCTTCCTAATCCAAACCATTCCATGATTTCAATGTGTTTGGCTGGGGCAGGCAGGGAGAGTGTGGGAATTCACCCTGTGCAGGTGATGTGGAATTGTGCTGCTTTCCCAGCTGGAATTGCAGGGAGACAGCCTGGGACAGGGAATGACTGCTGACCTTAAAGCGACTTTTCAGCAAGAAAAACCCAGGAATTTTAGGAAGAATGGACTTAACAGAGAAAGGCGGAAACGAGCTCAGGGGAGGATAACGGGATGTGGCTGCCGGGGGTTGAAGTCTTGCCTGACTTTGCTTCCAGACTGGAAACCTGCTCCTCTTGTCAGGAAAGCCAGGACGGTGTCCCGGGAAAGCCGAGGCCAGGGGGGCTTCCCAGGAAAACCGAAGCTGGGACAGTGTCCCGGGAAAGCCGAGGCCGGGAGGTTTCTCAGGAAAGCAGCTCCGGGCAGGCTGAAATCAGCCCCGGCTGCCCCAATCTCCGCGGCGATTCTGGAGCGCTCGGAGCCGAACGGGGAGAGGGGGACGGACCTGCCCGGAGGGATCGGGGAGAGCAGAGCCAGGAGCTCCGCCGGCAGCAGATGGAGCCGGGAAGGGGAGGAAGAACCGGGAGCGAGCGGGACAGAACTGGGATGAGGGAGAAGAGCCAGGACAGGCCGAGAGGAGCCCAGACCGAGCGGGAGGAGCCGGGACGGGGACGGAAAAGCGGCCACCAGTCGGGGGGAGCTGGGACGGGGCGGGACGGTCCGGGACAGAGCGGGAGGAGCCGGGATCGAGCGGGAGGAGCCGGCACCGAGCGGGAGGAGCCGGGATCGGGCGGGAGGAGCCGGGGCCGGGCGCAGGCGCCGCGCCGGTATCCGCTGCTCGGCCGGGCCTGGCGGTGAGGACGCGGCGGGACCCCGCACGGGCCGGGCGGAGCCGGGGGGACACCGGGGCTGCGGGAGCGGGGGCGCGGTGGGTCCGCAGGGATTGGGGGCGATGGGGGGCTCGGCGGTGGGGTGGTGATGATGATGATGGTGGCGGGGACAGGAGGCAGCACGTGGCGCTGGGGGTGCGCTGGGAGAAGGGGGGGCAGGGGCATGCAGAGAGCGGGATGGGGGTGTCCGGGAAAGGGGGGATAACGCAGTGCAGAGATGCTGGGGATGGCCAGGGCAGGGGGTTTTGGGATGGCCAGGGCAGGGGGTTTTGGGATGGCCAGGGCAGGGGGATTTTGGGATGCCCTGCGGTGGGGGTTTTGGGATGCCCAGCGATGGGGGATATCGGGGTGCGGACGGAGCCAGCACAGGGGCGGGTGAGATTTGTAGGGGGTGCTGGGCACCCATGGGTGAGGGGTCGTGGCTGTCCCTGTCCCTCCACGTGTGCCCTGTCCCTCGGCAGGCCGCCCTGGCGCTGCGCTCCATGGATGGCGTTTTCCTGTCGCCCAGCGAGGATGAGTTCGTGGGCAGGATCGCGGAGGAGCTGGAGCACTTCATGGTGCAGGGCCAGCACCAGCGGTGGGTGCCCGCCCGGCTGCCCCCGGGCGATGGGAGCTCAGGGACACCTGGGGACCTTGGGCTCGGGCTTTGCATCGCTTTTTGGGGTGAAAGCAGCAGCGTTTGGGGTCTGGCTGTGGAGCTGCAGTGCTGGGATGGGTGGGTGTGGGATCCCCTCCTCTGGTCATGTCTTCAAGCAGGGGTTTGTGGCCATTGGTGGCTTTTGCTCATCCTGGGCTCACCTGGGTCTCTTCCCAGTGCGGTGACCTTTGGAGCCCTTGAGGTGGCCAGTGCCAGGGTGCTGCACAGGAGCAGGGGTGGCAATGCTGAGCTCAGCTCCCTGCCAGCTTGTCGTGACCTTAAATATTTGTTTCAGTGCTTTTTTTTCTTAACAAAGTGTTTGGCAAAGAAATTCCCTGTGCCGTTGTCAAACGCTCAGGGACAAACCTTTTGACAGCAGTGACATTGAACTTGGAGTTTATTTATCCATTCTTGGTTCATTCCTGGTTTCCGTGTGGGAACTGGATTTGTAGAGAAATTTTAAAGTTTGATAGAAGGTTTATATAGTATATATTTGTATATAAATTTTGACAGAAATACTGATTTAGAAGGGTTATAGCATAAGATAGATATTGTTGAGAGGGAAATGAAATTAGACTCAGCCTGGGAGGGAGGGGGTCAGTAGCAGCTTTCTGCTGGTGCTTCCCAGCCTTTCCCATCTGGATACAGCAGGAATTGGGGTCCAGGCCAAGGCCTTGGGGTCAGGCATTCCCAGCCTCCCCACACACACTCCATTTGATGTGTAAAATGTGTCTGGCTGCAAATCTGGGAAGACTTTTCTCTTTAATATCATGAAGTCCTGCTTGGCTTTTTTCTGATTTAAATCCCATGCTGGGAATGACTCGGGGATGAGGTTATTGCATTTTTCCATCATTCCCATCCCTTCCTGCACATTTCTGATGCCTTGAGCCCTCTCTCCTTTCAGAGTGCTCCTGTTCCCACCCCTGTCCAGCCGCCTCAGGTACCTGATCCACCGGACTGTGGAAAACATGGAATTGCTGAGCAGCTTCTCGGTGGGAGAGGGCTGGAGGAGGAGGACGGTCATTTGTCACTCGGCTGTCAGGTGAGCTGTGATCCATTGGGTCAGGGCTGACAACGATCGTGGAATCCTGGAATGGTTTGGGAGGGACCTGAAACTGATCCCAGTGCAACCCTTTGTCACCTTCTGGGGGCACGTCCCACTGTCCCAGGCTGCTCCAAGCCCTGTCCAGCCTGGCCTTGGACACCTCCAGGGATCCAGGGGCCGCCCCAGCTGCTCTAGTAATTCCATCCCAGCCCCTCACCCTCCCAAACTCCCATCCATCCCTGCCCTCTGGCAGTGGGAGCCATTCCCTGTGTCCTGTCCCTCCATCTCTTGTCCCCAGTCCCTCTCCAGCTCTCCTGGCTCCCTCCCCTTCAGGCTCTGGAAGGGGCTCTGAGGTCTCTCTGGAGCCCCTGGAGCATTCCCAGCTCTCTCAGCCTGGCTCCAGAGGGGCTCCAGCCCTCGGATCAAGCACACAGTCACCGTGTCCCATTTAAGGTCTCCATTACCAATGGCACCTCCCAGACCCTAAGGAACAGCGGGATTTTCCCTTAGGGAATTTGATGCTCTTCCTTTTCCTCTGGCAAACCCCACATCCCTGGGCTTCCCCTGCTCCCCTCTCACCATCCTCTCCTTCCCAGGCTTCCCAACGAGACCTCAAACGACCAAAAAGCCGGGACCAACCCCGCTCGGCCGCAGCGGCTGGCGCAGCCCTGGGGCCGGGGGGGCCGGGGGTCCCGGCCGCGCCACGCCGGGGACACCCACGGGGACAG